AGTTGATGTAATCATTTGGTCATGTAGCTGGCTAATATGCCTTGTCTGTTTCCCCAGTTCTGCAACATATCAGGGGCGGAGCATCTGAATCTGGATAACCCCGCCCTCACCTCAACTCCTGTGTGTGGCCAAAGGTGTCTCCTTAACACACCACTCCAAAAAGAAACCACACCTAAGCACCAGAAAGAGAATGATGGGTAAATTCATATATAAAAGCAGTATACGTTCCACACAAGCTGGCATGAAAGCCACAAGCTTGCTATGCTTTGAATTTTCCACAAGGATCAGGATTTAACCTGAATTTAATCAGATTGTTAGGAGGATAGTACTAATATTCTCTATCAACTTTCTAGTTCACGGACCCCCAAATTCCGTAAAACTGTCATGATTCCAACGCCGAGGACACCGACCCCCTTCAAAAATGCCTTGGCTGCCCAGGAGAAAATGCATGGGCCACTGAAGATGGAGGTAAGAGGTCAAATGTGGCTGTGTGCATTTGACACTTTTAATGACCTATATTTATGATACACCTTTATTACTTTGTGTAGTATATGGCTGTTGTAGTTATACTTATGTGTTTGTTCGTGTTTTTCAGCCCCAGCCATTGGCGTTTCTAGAAGAAGACATTCGAGAAGTTCTGAAGCAGGAGACTGGAGCGGACATCTTTAACAGAGCAGACTTCCAGCAAGACTACAGAGCATGGAAACATAATGTATGTGTAGCATGCACACTTTCTTCTATTACTTAAATATACCACTGAGCTCAGTGGTAGCACACATTTGTATAGCTCTACCCTAGATGGAAGTATTTAGAGTTATTTGTATCTTGGTCCTTTTGATTTCAGATTGATGGCCCAGCTAGAAAGGTGCGTAAATCTCTTGTGCTGGACCCCTGGGGGAAAGACTGCCTAAATGTCCAACTCTTCCAAGAGCAGCTCAACAACGCACAAGTGAGTCACTTTAAAATGCTGCTTTATATGAATTAAGTTCAGCATCATCCTGTATTATATTTTTAATTTATTGAACCTCCTATCACAGGTGCAGGATGAAAGTCTACTGACAAACTCCTCACTGATCACCCCGATCTCCGAGCAGGAGTGTATCCGTTCTTTGACTTCTGGCCAAGAGGAGCCCTCATTAGTCCCAGTACATCCTCATCGCTTCACCAGCCCCCGGATGAAGAAGCTTCTCGCCTCCCACAAAGCACCAAGACATGCCAATGTACAGGTACGTAAAGTCTCTAAAGCATTTGTTCCTCATAAAACATTTGAAAAGCCGAAAGTATGCATTGTTTACATCTATGTTTACTTGCTTTAAGTGTTGCATTGCGGTCCTTATTTGCGTGTTACAGCCACCTGTAGACCAGTGAAGTGCTCCATAGCATTACTAGAGATTAAAAACGCCACAGGGAACCGTTAAATATTAAGATATACGTAATTGTATTGTATGTATAATGTTTCCTGATGCTGTTTTGCATAATGAAGGGTAAGCTACCTTGGCAAACATTGGTAATCGTTGGTTGCCTTCTCTGCAGGTGAGTGAGTGGGAAGCAGTGGTTTATGGGAAGACAGAGGACCAGCTGATCATGACGGAACAGGCTCGTCAGTACCTGAACCCTTACCCGTCTTCTGGCTCTACCTCAAGGGCCCTTGTGCTTTAAAGCCGTCCCCTCACTGCGCAGGCAACACTACTACACCCCGTCCAACAACTGAAAGCTCCACTGAATCCTGTAAGAGACAATCCGGTGAAGACAAATGATTTTATTTTTTGTTTTGAAGCAGAAATGCACTGCCAAGGACGTCCACAAAAAGGCACGGCTGCTGGTATTGTTTTCAACACGTTTCTAGGTCACTGCCCAAGTAGTTTCTCGTTCATAGGTTTGGCTGTATTTTCGTTGAAATACACACAACCTAAACAGTTTTGTACAGATATGAAAAGTCTAGATTTTTTTCTGCACTAGTCAGTAATGTTGAAACAACCTGCACATACAGTAGGCTTTAGAAATAGTGTTTATTACTAGCAGTGGCTGCTTCTGAGTTTTATATTGTTAATATATTGTTCAAATGACAAGAAAGACATTTTATAATGTAACGCTACTCATTGTTTATTTCCTCCAGCTTATTTCGCTAAACTGCCCCGTTGCTGTTATCAGATAAAAACCACGTACATGCAAAATATGTAATTTTTTTATTGGCACCCATGTATTTCTAAAACCACACACCATGGGTTTTTAACAAGACACACAGAGTACAGAATGTAATGTTAACAACTGCTTTTGAAAATTAGAGTAACACAAACGCAGTTACGTGGTTTTTTGTGACAGCAGTGTTACGATGCTGAATGCCTATCCACGGTGATGTGAAGTTTTTGAGGATGGAAATAAGAAGCTGTCAGTATTGCACTACTGAGTTGATTTTGCTGCTGAGAAAGGAGCAGTGTTTTTAAGGGCAAACTGGATAGCACTTGTGATGGTATATTTTTATGAACAACAGCATTTCCTTTCCAAGGCCGTAGTGTCTGTCGAGACATCGGTTGAATGTATTTCATTGCAATGTACATGTGTAAGAACCTCAAAAATGGAAGGGTACCTTTAATGTTTATTTTCTGTTTGTTTTATTTATTATCTGACAGCTCTAAAGCTTAGATATTAATATAAATCGGACACCATGAGTTCTTAAGAAGTTTAACTTTGCTGACAAAACAGCCTAAAAACCCTCACTTGCTCTACAGCAGTTCTCTCTGTAATAGAGAGTGAATGGTCACCATTGCTTCGGTCAGTCAGTTTCCGTGTGTCACGATTGACCAGTTTTCATATCATCAGTGTTCTACAACAAGCATTTGGTCGAGAAGGATTTACTTTTTATGTGAAGGCTGTAGGTTTTATTTATTTAATGTCTACTAATTTATTTATTTTCTAAAAAAAAAAAAACATTTAAGAGAAATTATTGAAGAATTTTATTGTCTTTTCTCTTTCAAAATCAGGATAGGGCTACCATTCAGTTTCATTACTCCAAGTTAGAAGAACACGCACTGCCACTAATTTAATATTTTAATTTCTCTTTTCCCGATCAGGCAAGATCTAGCAAATAATCATTGTGTAGTTGTATCTGTGATCTTGTAACATATAGATAGGACTTTTTTTTTTCTCCATTGATTCAAATGCGTTCTTCGCTATTAGGTAGCAGGACTCCATCTACGACCTCTAATCATAAACAAATTGCACTTTTTACTCATTTAATTTTAAATGTTTGTTCATTCTGATGATGTAGCTCTTGTCCTTAATTTTATTTTTGTTTCTTTGTGTGTGTTTGTGTGCGTGCGTGCGTGTGTGTGTGTGTTAGACGGTTGTCTCCCCGTTTGTAATGAATGCTGACATTAAGATCTTGCTGCTTGATTTCAACATTTTTCTCCTGTTCTGCTGCAGAAGTGTGTGTTTAAATACACAATAATAACTACATTAAAGCCTTACATTCAACTTTTTTTATGCAGATGTCTCTGGGCAAAAACAGACCGTCATTATTATTTTTATTATTATTATAACAAGATCCAAATTTGATCCCTGCAGCAGCCAGCGTCTCAATAACCTTGTATCCTGCTGAACCTCTACCCGCTCACTCGTGATTTGACACTGCATAACAACAAAATGCTTAAAATGTAATGTAAATATGCACAAATTTAGCTGTGATATTTTTGAAGAAATGTACTACACTGTGCTTCCATATTTAACTGGCGGTTTCATGTCATTTTTAACCATCCTGGGACATAAATTACTATAATCTGGTGAGGTAACACTACAGCTATAAATGGTGTTTTTTGTATTATCGGCATTAGTGGATCCAGTATTAGTTATAATCTGGATTATCCTGCATTAAGCATTTGAGTGAAAATAAGAAGGGAATCTTGTCAGGGAGATCAAGTGGAAAGATCAGGAGTATACAGTACACAACTTTAAAACAGAAAGTAGACTAACATCCATATACGACCTTTGTATTTGAATCTGGTGGCTGAGATGTGTCTAATCTGTATATAATTGTGATATATGTTCTGTTTGTTGGTTTGACTTGTGTTTGTACATTCCATTTGTCAAGTCCAAGTTAATATGTTTGTACGTTAACATTTGGCTATGTAACATCATAGGTTTTGAGGGAATTAAGTACATATACAGGATAGTAGCAGCTCTTATATACTACTGTAGTTATGCATGAGCAATACACAAGATGCTGGACTTTGCTTTAACCGACGAGGTGAATCACAGATGTAACACTCACTCTATATTTTGTAGCATTTTCAGTTGAAATCATAACCGAGGTACCATAGAAATCCTGCCAACTGTCTTTGTAACCGTGTACTTAATTTGGAAAAAATAAATGCATATGTTGCATGACATCTGTGGCATTTTACATTTTGTGTCTACATTTTTCCACTGAGTTTTTCTCTCTCTGCCAAGTGCCCCTGTCCAAATTAGTATAGGTTACATGGTTTTTCGCACATAATAAAGATTTCTGATGATCCTTTAGTTTTTCTGACATGCTCACAGCAGGCGTAGCAACCTCTTGAGCTCTTGCCAAAAACTGATTCCTCAAAAGACATTTTCTTATGGAAAATGGAAACCAAAGTCCCCCCCCCCCCCTTTTTACCGCATTTTGCCACTTTTCCCCAGGTGGAGCTGACAGCCATGCAGGTGAATCGTTGGGGTTGAGGGGTTCACAACTGATAGAGTGGTTTGAGCTGAACCCCCTGTCATGTGTGTATGTATATGTTGGGATGCTGTCAACTTGGCCTGGGGTCCAGCAGGGACACGAGCCCCCTCCACCAGAACAAGAGGCCTCTCCACGGGGTCAGCTGCTGGCCCTAAAGGGGCCCACTCACCCATGACTTAATGCCCCCGGGCTCTTTTGTCCTCGGGGCTGTTGGTTTTACAGGCCCATTCACTCAATTGCCCCCCAAATGGAGGGAGGTAAAAGAACGTGATGACTTGCCTTATGCTGAAGGAGCAGCAGTGCACATGCATATAAACAATGTGCACATAAACACACGGGCGCCGCATGCACGCCATGTCCACTTAATCAATCTGTCCTCCCTTCGCTCTCGTTCTTGTACAAGAGGGTCTTTTGTTCTTGCTTGACCCGCACTAAGAGTTGAAAGGTGTCAGGGACCTTTTTTCTCTTAATTGGTTATTGGCAGCAGCCCCTCCACCTTATGTTTCATGCATGCATTTAAGGAAAGCAATTCATAGATTATAATAATCTATCTAATCTAAATAAAAATTGCATATAATTTCTATCTTTTTATTTGAATAGACAGTAAGTAAAACGTAACATGCCAAAGTGTACACCACCCGTTTTTTTATTATCCAGTGCAGGTCCAGTACCCTCCGTATGTCTGGTCACTGAGTTAGCCATCAGTAAGGTGTGTTCATTTTTGTGTCTACCTTGTACACTGAAGACATGAAACAGAGCCTGCAGGCGCCTGGCCAAATCTACCCTGCCCTCTTCCTCTGAGCACACACCCAAAAGCAAGCGCACAAACTCTCACACACACACTGTTTGCCTTTGTGTATGCTAGACAGCAGATGGCAACCCATTATTGGGCTGACAGAGCAGTCATCTGGCAGGCACCCTGTTACCCCTCCTCCCCCTCTCCCCCCC